AAAATTCTGCGAAATAATTATGTTTTTAGCTGTAAAATGTGCTTAAAATGGCAAAATTTTCAATTTTTGACCCGATTTAGCGAGTTTTTGATTTTGTAAAAATAAAACTATTTTTTACTAAATTTGGAGATTTTTGACTTATTTTTGAGAAAATTTGTGGAAATAATTGATTTTTGTAACTGAAAATGTACAACAATCTTGAAAAAGACAAAAATTATAAAATATTCGCTAAAACTTCAAATTTTAGTTCAAAAAAACGTGCTTTAAAGGTTGAAAAAGGTATAAAAATAAAAATATTTTGACCTAATTTAAACGTGTTTAAAAAAAACAAATCTTAAATAAATAAATCTCTGCTTCAAAAAAATCCAAATCAAACAAAATAGTTTAACAATTTTGTTATAACTCGATAATTTTTTAGTCAGTTTTAACTAAATTTGTCAAAAAAGGCTTTATCTCAAAAACGTGCGCAAAAAAGACGACCAAAGTAACATCATTTTTGACGTAATTTATTGACAAAATTTTGCGAAATTATGTGTTTCTAGCCGAAAAAATGCTAAAAACACTTGAAAAAAAAGCAAAATTAATGTAATTTATGGCCCAAATTAGCGTTTTTTGGATCTGTTTCGTATAATCTCTTGAAAGAAACAAATTAAACCATTTTTTTATTATTTTTTTATTTTTATGTGACCAACAGTGCAGTACAGTTTAGTGTGTTGCATAACCAGTGTTGAATTGAACTGTCAATTTGTAAAGTTGTTAGTTTTATTTTTGTAATAAGTTAATTAGGATCAAATGCTAATTTAGTGTCTTTCAAATATGTTTTTCAGTGCAGTTTTGTGAAAATTTATCGATTGTAATGGCTTGTGATATTCTAGGTCCAGGCTGGTTTGTTAGGTTAGGTAACGGTTATTTTCGTTTCTTACTCATGTTTTTACAGGAATATCTCCGAAAAAGGCTTGGAGATAATAACCGAAACCAATAAAATCACTAACAAGTCTCAAATACTGAAAAATGCGCTTAATGTGAGTTTTTTTCTTCAAAATTGACCAAAATTTAATTTGTTATTTTTAGTCTGATTTGAAAGAAATTGGAAGCCCAGTTTTAGCTAAAATACTTAATAAGAGTAATGTTTCTCAGGTGAGAGCATTTTAAGTGTAACCACCAATGAGAAATTGCCTTTTTTAGGTTGTTTTACAAATCCAAAAAATTCGCAATATATCAGCCCCCAAGGCCAACGAGAAGTCTCAAGCAGCCCCCCGGATGCTAAAACTAGTCCTAACTGATGGTGAAACGTACATTCAAGCAATTGAGAYCGCCCCAGCCCCCTCAATCAGCGATAAAACGCCCCCAGGAACCAAAATATTCATCAATTGGGCAAAAATCTCCTCAGGTTATTTACTCCTTGACTCAAAAAACTGTTCCCTGCTCGGGGGCAAAGTCCCTGCACTTTACGAAAAGTGGGAAATTGCCAAAAGTGTTCACAATCACCACCGACAAAACGGTAATTTTTTTCGTAAAATTTAATTTTTTCACAAAAGGCGCTTCAGAGGGGCCCCCAGCGTGGGTCAACTTCGGGGGCAAAATCCAGGAGATTCAAGACAAAGACTTCAAATCGTTGGACAAAACTGAAGTGAAGGAAAACACGAAATTCGATTTGTTGAGACAGGATGCGATAGCTGAGGCCACTTCGGGGGCTGTTAGGAAGGTCTTCGGGGGCGGTACGAAGCCCCAAACGCAGCCCCAGTTTCCGAAGAGCAACAAAAAACCCGATTTTGTCAAGAAAGGCCCCAAAAATCGAGTGGAAGTGGACGAAAAGCCCCAAAAACCCCCCGAGAGGGTGTCCTTGTTTGATTTTCTTGAAGACAAGTTGCCCACGAATGAGCCCCCCAAACACGATAAAAATAAAAAAAATGCCAATTTTTATCAGAAACAAGATAATTTTTTTAAGCCTAGAAATGAGGGGGCCCAAATGAACGGTTTGAGTAACAGTTTTGAGAAAATGGCCCTTAATTCGCAATTTGCGAGTCGGAGTCTCAAACAGCATTTGAATTTGGGGCCCCCTCGGGGGAAAAACCCCCCTGATAACACGAATCAGTGGAGAGTGGGGGATGATTGTGTTGCTAAATATTGGGAGGATGGCAAAGTAGTTTTCTACTTTTTGGTTTTGAAATTTCTTATTTTTTATTTTTTCAGTACTACAATGCTAACATAACTGCCGTAACTGAAAAAACCTGTGTGGTTAAATTTAAGGGTTATGGAAATATGGAAGAGGTGCTGAAAAGTGATTGTCTTCCAGCTGAAACTAACAAAAAAACGTATTCAGGTTGGTTTTTGTTGGTTGTTGTTTCAGGGATAGGCTGAATTGTTGTTTTTCAGGACCTATGGAATTCAGGAGGAATACTAGGACGTACAGGAGGCAATAACATGATATTCAGTGTTGTTTTTCTACTAATAAATTATTTCAAAATCACGTAAAGTTTTTTTTTTATTTGGTTTAGTATCATGTAAAGCGGGCTTTAACGTCAAATTTGACATTTCAAAWCGTCAAAATGACAGTGCTAAAAATATATTAACGTATATAATAACGTTTTATGCACTTTTTTGAGTCTTTAAGACTTCTAGAAATGTAAAAAACGTTAAATGGATCAATTTTAAAGTTGAAATTTTTTTGTATTTTTTTCGAGATTTTGGTCAATTTTAGGCACCCGGAGCAGTCTAATGGCAATAACTCCGGACTTATTGGTAATAACCTCTTATGTTTGGTACCGTTGGAAAGCAAATTTAATTTTCTATCATATCCAAAAAAGATTACTGTTCTACGATAAATAGTTATCGAGAAAATTTCTGATAAAGTCAAAAATATCAAAAATCTAAATCCGCTTATAACTTCAAAACTATTAGGAATTTTGCAGTTTTTTTGACGCCAATCGATTCCCCGGAACATTTTACATAGGTTTAGGTCAAAGTATTATATCATTGAGGCACAGTTTATTTACAATTTACAAAACAAAAAAAAGTAAAAATTTGTTAACACCCCCCCCTAAAAATCTAGTGTTTTTGAACATGTCTCAGATTCGATTTAAACCTATCTTATCCGATAGATTTTGACGCGCTGATTACGAATTTGCCAAGTATTTTGCGCTATCTCCTTTAGTTTCGCCGTAATCGCCGTTTAAAAATACAATTTTTTTTGCGAGATATCGACTTGGCTTTGGCCTCAGTCGATAGATTTTCTTACGCTGATTACGATGGAGTTGAAATTTTTGCTCTAAGTCTTATAGTTTGGCCGTAATCGCCGTTCAAAAAGTCAAAATTGTCAAAATTGTGAAACTTTAAACGCGTTTTTCTACGAAACTATAAGATTTAGAGCAAAGAGCTAAAAAACATTAAAGTTAGCTTAAAATTATCTATTTACTGGCGCAAACCGGAAGTCGCTCCGGGTTATGGYTCCGGGTACAGAGCCATTTTTAGTTTTTTCAAAAAAAAATTMATATCTCAAAAACTATGAGTCTTAGGTCAACARGGTTTGTACAGGCGTGTTCTCCGGTTAATTTTACATATAGTACTAGTTTTTCATAAGAATAAAAAAAWWTTGATTTTTTTGGTCAAAATCGGATTTTTCTAGACTTATTCTTAACTTTATTACTCAATATCTCAAAAACTATGCATCGTAGAATATTTTAACTTGTTGCATCGTGTTCAGCGAGTAATTTTACGTCTAGAAAACCATATTTCAAGCATTTTTACGACTTTTACTAAATTGACTATTTTTACGATTACCGCTCACCTTCAAAAACTCAAAAAATTCAAAATTTTTGAAACTTGATCCAATGGCGTCTTATGCACTTATTTTAGTCTTTAAGACCTCCAGATATGTAAAAAACGTTAAATGGATCAATTTTAAAGTTGATTTTTTTTTTGATTTTTGTCCAAATTTTGGTCGATTTTTGGCACCCGGAGTGGTCTATTGCGAATAACTTCGGACTTATTGGTAATAACCTCTTATGTTTGGTACCGTTCGAAAGTAAATTTAATTTTCTATCATATCCAAAAAAGATTACCGTTCTACGATAATTTTGATAGTCAAAATTATCGAAAATATAAATTCAAAACTATTACGAATTTTGCTGTTTTCTTGACGCCAATCGATTCCCCTGATCATTTTACAACATTACTTGATGGAATGTTGCTTTCTTTGTGACCTTTTAGAACACTTTTAGTGAGAAATCTCCCTCAAAAACGCCAAAAATGACTAAATTATTTTTGAAAAACTCAAACAACCCCAAAAGTGAAGAATAACCAAAATAGATGAAACATTTTATTATTTTTGTGTTTTTTAAACATGTAAGAATGTTTCTGTTCTAAGAATTGTGAGAAATTATACAAAAATACACCAAATGAGGTGAAAAATTATAATTTTCGCTTTTTTTAATAAAACTTTTCAGGCCTTTTTACTTAATAAAACTTAATAAAACAAGTTAAAAATCTCCAAATTAGGTAAATTTTTGTCTTTTTTAGGTGAGAAAAACATCCAAAATTTACTAATTTAGGTCACAAATGATTTTACTTTTGCGTTTTCCGAGCGTTTTTTACTATTTCAGACAATAAAAGTATGTTTTTAAGGCAAAATTTTTGTTTTTTTAGAAGATTTTATTAAAATAGACCAGAAAATCACTAAATTAGAAAGACCTTTTTTTTGAAAAACCTCGCTGAATAATGAAAAACCAAAATACATGGAAAATTCTATTATTTTAGTTTTGTAAAAACGTAAGATGTTACTGTTCTAAAAATTGTGAGAAATTGTTCAAAAAAATACCAAATGAGGTAAAAAATTATAAGTTTCGCCTTTTTTGTTAATACTTTTCAGGCAGAACAAAACAAGTTAAAAATCTCCAAATATTTTTGTCTTTTTTGGGTGTTTTGGAGACATACAGATCCAAAATTTACCAATTTAGGTCACAAATGATTTTAGTTTTGCGTTTTCCGAGCGTGTTTTACTATTTCAGACAATAAAAGTATGTTTTTAAGGCAAAATTTTTGTTTTTTTTTTATAAGATTTTGTTAAAATGTTATTTTTGTGTTTTTTATACATGTAAGAATGTTTTTGAACCAAAAATTATGAGAAATGAGGTAAAAAATTATAATTTTCAGCTTTTTCAACAATGAAATATTCGAGACATTGCCCTTCCATAAGCTTTGGTCATGTCTAAACAAAAAAAAGAAATAATGTGGTCGCATTAGCTCATAGAACACACCAAATTTAATTTGTTGATTGTTAATTTACTAATAAAAAATGTATAAAAAAAG